TTTGTATTCTAGAGTATTCTTCTTTATCATTCTTTCTCTTCCTTCTTTCATCCATCAACTGCAGAATTTCGGTTGACATCCATTTCTTTTTTGCAACTCTATGGGTTGGTGGGATTGTCTCTTTTGATGTCTGCGAATTGACTCACGCAAAATATCTCACTGTTCATCAATAGTCTGTATAATTTCCATTGCATTATACCTGTTTTTTACAGTGACATTGTACTGTTCCTTAATTTCTTTATCCCTTCTAAGAATTCCTAAATTTAGCTGATGTTCTGTGGTATTTTCCTAATGTCTCTGTACCACACTGTCTATATTCCACACTGTCTCTGTACCACACTGTGTATATTCCACACTGTCTCTGTACCGCACTGTGTATATTCCACACTGTCTCTGTACCGCACTGTCTATATTCCACACTGTCTCTGTACCACACTGTCTATATTCCACTCTTCTGTACCGCATTGTCTCTGCAACAAAACATCTCTGTTACTAATTGTGCTCGAAACTCTTAATCTGAAATGTAAAAATTCATTGGTTTAACGATTACATGCCGGCATCGTTAGTGCGAAACCTTATCACGACTGTAACAGTGTCGACGATATTCTGAAGATTCTAATTCGGTTAAGCTGGTCAGTTGTCATTGCAGATCAAAACAGCGCTCGACACATTATCTAAACTTGCATTCCCCGTGATAATCTCGCGACAACAGGTACAGCCCAGAGCTGTCGTGAATAATTAAATGGCATGACCTCAAAAAACCTTTTTTATGAGAATTAGGAGGCGAATCACCCCCCCCCCCCCCCACATTTTAACCCAAAAAAAAAAAAAAAAAAGGGGAGGGGGATGTGATAACGAAGACCTCTGAAGAAATTCTTTTAAAGCCTCTGAACAGGGACGCCTGCTAATTATTGCAATGCTAAGATCTTTGTTTTAACAGTTATATTTTAAATGTGATGCATTTATACTATGGCTGTACCAAATATTCGTTTCGTATTCGCTTCGGGGCCGTAGAGTGGACCTATTGACTATTCGGTATTCGGCCGAATAGTTGTGGTCTGGCCGAATACGAATAGTAGTTACCTTACACCCGTTTCTGCATACAAGGCATTAATGCTGACAACATGGAAGGATTGGTTTTGTTGAGAGCTAATGCAGATTTTCTGCATTAACTAAGCTGTCAGTGACAATTTCCAAGTTTAGTTACTCGTTATAATACTTAGGATTCTTTCATTCCTAGTTATTAGTTACCACAGACTGACTGAAGGATGCAAAACATATAATGTTTTTAAAAGTTTACTATTCTGTACGAATACTAACTAGACATGGAAAGTATATAAACTCCGGCCACATCCAAGTCGATAATATGAAAATCAAACCAACGGAAACATTAAAATACTTGGGTGCAAACTTCTACTGCTCCAACATGCTGAGAGAAGAAATACAATCTAGAATACAATCTAGAAATAAAGTATATTATGCCCTTCAACATTTGCTAAAGTCAAAGTGTCTGTCTCGCAACACCAAGATCAAAATATATAAAACGTTGATAAGACCTGTCGTTTTATATGGCTGTGAAACTTAAAGCAGAAATAAAAGAGATGAGGCCTTATTACAGGTTTTCGAAAACAGTCTTACGACAAATCTTTGGACCAATCAAAGATGCTAACAGCGGGGAATGGAGAGTGAGAAGCAACAACGTAACAAATAATCTACTTAAATCACCATTGATCACTGGCATCATAAGAGCTAACAGACTAAAATGGTTGGGACATATTAAAAGAATGTCAGATGACAGAGAAGTAAAAACTGTATACACCTGAGAGAGGAATGGGCGTAGACCACGAGGCAGACAAAAAAGAAGTTCGAGAGATAATGTCCAGTCAGACCTGCAAACAACTGGTGTCACAAACTGTGAAGAGAAGGCCAGCCAGAGAGATGAATGGAGACGAGTGATATCTGCAGCTGTAAACATCAAGGGCTCAAAATGCTAAAGAAGAAGATGACTATTCTGCGCTACTTTATGTGAAGTAAAAGTTCAGCGTACCTTAGACATTGTAAATGTGTTTGTTTTTTTAGATATATTTTAGACACTATACACTATTCGTATTCATATTTGGCCTAATAGTTGGTCCCGTTATTCGTATTCGGCCAAATAGTGAAAATCGTTATTCGGTACAGCCCTAGTTAAAATTACATCGAACGAACGGCCGAGCGAACTATGGTTTTGAAAGAAGCGGGAGTGGTGACCACTAGAAAGATCTGTGGAAGGAGGGATAGAGGAAGACAACGATAGAAGATTCTTTACAGTCTTGTTGCATGGCATGGAGGTGTGTCAGCATACGAACTAATACATGCTGCAGGAGATCACAGATTGTGGCGGGGCATAATCGCCCACGCCAGTCGGCAAGACACCTGATGATGATGATGATACACTATTCGTATTCTTATTCAGGGGAATAGTTTGTCGCACTATTCGTATTCGGCCGAATAGTGAAAATCCCTATCCGGTACAGCCCTAATTTATACAGCATTGAAAAATATGCCAACATAAATAAGAGAGAGTAAATGAAAACAGACCTGGACGAATGAAAAAGAGCTGCAAATCCGAAGAAAGCAGCGCAAGAGGAGTGAAGTGTGAATTATACGTATAATAAACTGTCGTGATCAGTCGTTTTACGCTTTCGGAGCTATTGAGGAAAAGGACCACCTATGGATATGTCTGGAGTGCTGTGGTGATAGTCCTAACTAATCACTAATCGCTTAGATAGTTATAAACACCTCTATACAATCAATTATACCTGTTTGAGAACCAGACTAAGAGACACCCCCTGAAACATCAACCAGATCAAAACCAGGCCAAGATCAAAGAGATGCAGGTGATTCAGGAGGAGTCCTTTTCAGGACCTGGTCATATGCTGGCAAGAAAAGCAGACACACGCCGTAGATCCTTCTGCTGAAGACTCGCCCTTCTCAACCTTACAATACCTAGATACCAACCAGACAGCAGGCATCAAAGCCGACGCAGAGAGGAAATTATCAAAACTGACCCACAACCTTCGTACAAAATTATAACCTGTATTAGTAGGTTGAACAAGGTTAATCGACAACCAGTAAATTTTGTCCCTGAAAGACAATGTGTTCCTGTGTTGCTGCCGTTCGACATTCATATTTCAAGTAATAAATTTCTGCATCATGGGTATCTATTGTCTGGTCAGAGAAGACTGTTAAATTACTAAATTATTATTCTAAAATAAAATACAAAACACAAGTATTAATTCTTTATCCCCCCCCCCCTCTCCTCCCAACCCGGCCTTTTCACGATGCTGTATTCTTCTTTGACCATAACTTCCAGAATAACACATCCCTAAATTGTTAACAAGAGATGTGTTGGGAAGTACATACGGCAAAATGTTATTGACCAAATCACGAATCGAGTACCAGTTGATGTATAAACATATGGAGAAAGATCAAACACTCGATACCACATAGGCACGATAAAAAGCTCCTTTAGCTATTGCACAACAATAAAGGGTATTACATTTAACACGCTTTACTGAGTGTAATGGGATTAGAAGTGCTAATCCTTTTGGGCAAGAAGCACAGCCAAGATCAAAATCTATTTCTGAATTTAAATGAATGAAGAAATAAATAAAAAATTAAAAAATAAATACAATTATTTACAGGATTAAAACTATATGTAAACTTTTAATTACAACTAACAATAGAGAAATCGAAGATTCTACAAACGGTTCCTACCTGGGCTCAGTATTTAACAATCATGAAGATTGCTAACCATTAATTAGAGACTAACTTTAACAAAGCAGATATTAAATCACCCGAAGAGCCTGAAGCATAACATAGCAAACAACTTCAAGTGAAAATCTTGTTGATATTAATGTTTTCTGTGGCAACATACGAACATGGGCTATGTCGCGGTCACGAATCAGGAAAATATGAACATGAATCTAAATGTTATATTGAAAATGTTTAGAGATTATAGAACAATAAAGGGAAAAGTGACAGACATCAATTAAATATCAAAATGTCTGGGGGAAAAAAAGTATCCAGAGTGATGTTACTTTCGACGTGCTTGGATAATAACTGAACATCGTAATCTGGATTGCCAGTCTTAATATCCTCGGTCACAACCGCATTGGAAAAAGGAAAAGGGGGGAGGGGGATTTTTAGACAGTGACCTTGGTTCCCAGTTAACTCTGGCTTGAATGAGCACCGGGAAATTTCTAGCAAAAGTAGACATTGCTAGCATCACGTTAACAATTTTAAACATAGATGTAGTGCCAAAAGCTGGATACAATTATGAGTCTGAATCAAATATGGCACGCCTCGCTGGCGTAAAAATATGAAATCATTCTATTTACTACAGTCTGGTCTTCATGTTGTCTTTAGGGCCCCAGTGTGGTGGGGAAAATAGACCTATAGCCCCTCCCCCACCCCCCCCCCCAAAAAAATACTAAAGCACATCGTAAAAGGCAACTAATTAGGGGCATTTACCGCGATGAGAAGTGAGGAAAACAGTCTGCACGCGTATATGCCAGATGCGTAAAACAGATGAGCTGGCAAAACTAACATTCTGGAACATGAAGACTAAATCCCAGAAGCGGACGAATAAGCAGGTTTTTCTCCCGGAGTTTCTTGGCTTCCAGATCGACCCTGCCTTGAATGGGTACCATATGAAGTTCTGGGAAGTAAAGGCGGTCGTCGTGGTGCTGACCACATCACCCACCAAGTGAGTGCCGATGGATCTATAAAATATAGGTCTAGCCCTATGTGCCCAATACGCGTGAAGGTGTGAAAAAAAGGCTACTCTACTTCATTTTCACTTTACTTCTGCCGGAGTTTAAACTAATGAAAGTTAAGAAGAAGAAAAAGAAGAAGAAGAAGAAAAAGAAGAAGAAAAAGAAGAAGAAGAAAGTCTGGAATAAACAGTCTTGGTTATTCTCTTTGGCTTTTGAACAGAAACGAAGATAACCACTTACCTGGTACACAGAAGTAGTGAGTGATGACATTTCTCTTCTCTTCCTCCCGATGATTGCAGTTTTCCGAAATCAACGTTTTCAGACCTGAAGCAGCACATCTACTGACTCCTTCACACAGGAACATATTTGTGTATACACTCCGTGAGCATACGCCAGTCGTTGACGAGCAGGTCATTTGCCGCAAGTGAACCAGATGACCTGGGGGACATGTGAGACCCTCACTACGGTCACTGCAGATGTTTGAAATACACGAGCTCGTTGTCCCTGTAAAGGAAAGAGAACAAATGATGACTCTTTGTAAAAAGTGGTCACGTTTTACGAAAGTGTAGCATACACATGTAGAAAAAGTTATCCAATTCTACTGAACCAGTAATAGAGGCTTCCAGAAAGAGCAGCGAAAACTAACATACAACGTAGTATGAATTTCCTGAAAAAAGCACCACACGTTTAATATAATACAGAGCAGCATAAACGCCATGAAAGAGCAAAAAAAAAAAAAAAAACTAAATGAAAGAGCAGCATAAACGTCATGAAAGAACAGTAAAAAATATTCAATGAAAGAGCAGGGTAAACGTTATGAAAGAGCAGTAAAAAACTCAACGAAAGAGCAGCATAAACTTCATGAAAGAGCTGTTTAAAACTTAATGAAAGAGCAGCATACACCTCATGAAAGAGCAGCATAAAACTCAATGAAGGAGCAGTGTAAACTCCATGAAACAGTGTATGAACTCACCGGAGAAGTGCTACAAAGCTGAGTGTGTATTATAAATTTCCCGACAGAGTAGTATAAACTTCCTAAAAGAGCACAATAATGTTCTTGAAAGAGCAGCGTAAACTTCTTAAAGGAGTAGTATAAAATACATGGAAGAGCAGTATTACCTTCACGAAAGAGCAGTACAAACTCCCTCAAAATGCAGCATAAACTTAAAGAAAGAGTAGTACGAAGCTGAGCCACTAGTATGAACTTCCTGACAGGGCAGACTAAGCCGAAAGAGTACTATGAACTTCCTGAAATGGCAGCACGAAGCTGCAAGAGTAGCTAACATCTGTTCTTAAAGGTATCACAAACTTGAAGAAAGGCTAGCACATTTTTCAAGAACCCTTAAACCGACAGAACATCACGAACCTTTAGAACAAGAAGCATAAACCTTCAAAAAGAATGAAACAAATTTTCATAAAATGTAGCACAGCAAAAACCTTCAGATATTAGTAGCCCAGCGCGAATCTCACGAAACATCAGAACATTCATTGTTATAAACAGTAGCACAAACCACTAGGAAGAGCGGCACACACATTCAGAAAGAGTAGTACAAACCTTCAGAAAGACTAATACAAACCTTCAGAAATCTAGTACAAACCGTCAGAAAGAACGGCAAAAACCTACAGAAAGAGTAGCTAGCAGACACCTACAAGATGAGTGGCATAATCCTCTTCAAAAGGCGGCACATGTCGTCAGAAATTGCAGCACACGCTTTTGAAAAAAGAAGCAGCGGCCCACAGAAAGGGAACAAATATCAATTATTACTAAGTGCTTTTACAGGAGCAAAGGAAAACATTTTTACCACGATTTCTAAGGCCCAGTAATATCTACTGTATTTTTAATTTCAGTTTAATTTTCCATTTATTATGCTTTTTTTTTTAAAGTACTGTTTTTGTTTTCTTCTGCAGATTTTATCCCCTGTCTTATTCTCGTTGATTCTTCAACAAGAGATACATAAAATATTGATTCCATGCAAAGTGCTTCTCAAATAAGAGGAGATAAAGGCGGAGAGAACAAAGAGTGCGGATAGAAAAAGGAGAGGAAAAGGGGGAGAAAGCCGGACGAAAAAAACAGACAGACAGATATACAGCCAGACAGACAGACAGCCAGACAGAGACAGACAGACAGACAGACAGACAGACAGACAGACAGACAGACACACAGACAGACAGACAGACAGACAGAAGAGAGATTTACGAAACAAAATTCCGTTAAAATGCCTTGTCAACTGCGACAGTGAAAGGCACTGGAAAATATTTTCAAATATCTTTAGTTGAGCTGCGTGGATCCTAAGAAATCACGAGTTGAAAGCCGTTGTCCTAGAAATAGGAGGACAACTAGTCATGGACAGTTTTTTTAAAATATTTTAATGAAGTGAGTTAGAAGATCAACTCCATGCCAAAGATAATAAGAAAATAGTAAATAACAGAGTAGTAATACTCGCAGAAAAAATAGTATAAACTATGTGGAAGAACAGCATCAACTTCATGAGAAAGTAGTATGAGGAAAACTAATCATAAATAGTAGCTATTCATAAGTTATGCCAAAGATAAGAGGACAAAAGTAAACAACAAAGTAGTTCTACGTGCAGAATGATTTCTTTAAAATAAATTAGCTGCATATCCTTTAAAACAGTGTTCTTCATCCAGTGGACGGCAGAAGAGGCGAGATCGGCTGTCAACAAAGTCTGCCTTAGTATGAAACGAATAAACTAACGACGAGCTTTGATTTCAAAGGGTACAAATTGAGCACACAGGCCCGTCTTTATTTCGTCACTTCTAGGCACTTAATTTTCAGATTACAATTGCCTGTTATCAATTATGCATATACAAAATATACATTGTAAAATATAACATACACACATCACATATACACAATCATACACACTCAAAAACACACACGTACACATACTCTTGCATGCTCATACACACACACACTCATATACATACACACATACAAACACATACTCAGATACATAGATACATAGACAGACAGACAGACAGACAGACAGACAGACAGACAGACAGACAGACAGACAGACAGACAGACAGACAGACAGACAGACAGACAGACAGACAGACAGACAGACAGACAGACAGACAGACAGACAGACAGACAGACAGACAGACAGACAGACAGACAGACAGACGCACGCACGCACGCACGCACGCACGCACGCACGCACGCACACATACATACATACATACATACATACATACATACATACATACATACATACATACATACATACATACATACATACATACATACATACATACATACATACATACATACATACATACATACATACATACATACATACATACATACATACATACATACATACATACATACATACATATATACATACATACATACACACATACACCCATACTTATATACACATACAAACGTACACACATACCCCACATACATACACACCTACCCACACATATCCCATAAACATACATACATAATACATACACATGCATACACACATATGCATACATTATATACATATAGACACACATACACACACATACATACACCTATATGAACCCACACCTGCTTACACACTTATACACTCACACAAACACACACACTCACTCATACATTCAGCACACATACATACACTCATGCATACACACGCTTTCACATATACACATCCAAGCATACCCTCGTACATACGTACACGTTTATACACACACAGACACTTCCACATATGCATACAGACACATATACAACCATATATACAAAATCTTAAATATCCAAACACGCACAAACACACACACCCACTCAATATATTTACGTTCATGCAAACACACACACATACACCCACACATTTACACATACCCATACATAAAGAAACACCTAAAAAGTACACAAGCCCCTACTCATGCACACACACCCATTTATACACAAGCCCCTACTCATGCACACACACCCATTTATACACAAACCCCTACTCATGCACACACACCCATTTATACACAACACCCTCATAAAAAATTGCACTGTCCAAGTGACTGCATCTGAATCGAACACTGTATGTCAGAATTATATTTTGCCCATGCAGTGTGATCCCTCTCTCGGCCTGACCTATTGACTCTAAAGGAAAGGAAATACTGTATATTTCTTAATCCTCATATGGGTCTGTCTTTCTTGTAAAGGGCGTTATTTTAATATTTTGCGTGTAGTAGTTTTTCTAACCTTGTCAAGACAGTTTTAATTTCTTTGGTTTAAAAGACTGGTTGCTTTCAACTAGAACTTCTCAGGAGAAAAGCAGACGATTTAAGCGTTGAAAAACTTACTGGTGTTTCCTTTCCTGAGATGTAAACAAGACAGGGCGAAAGACGGATCAGGCCGCATAGGCACAACATTGACTCACAATACTGCTTCCGCAAAGTGTTGTGGAGACAGGAAACGTCATGAGCAGTTTTAATTGGCGCTGATTCCACGAATTCATATAATTTAAGATGACACTATCGCCTGGAATGATGGAAAGGTGCCAACGAAGGCTGCAAAAACTGCCAATTATCGCCTTTTTTTACCACTTTTGAGGTGTAGGTGTGGGTGGGGGGGAGGGGGGGGGGGGGGGGGGGGGGGGGTGTCTTTGAGCCTTAAGATTTATGACCGCGTGGTTAGTGCTGTCGCCACGACTATGCAGGTGAGGATTTTATTTTGCCCCCAACAGTAAACATCCCAGCCTTACTAAGGATTCGAACCCAGGTCTCCAGGCTGAGAGCCCAGCGTTCTAACGGTTCTGCCAGCCGCTCCTCGCGAAGACTGGCTGAAGACATGTTTTGCTGAAGTCGGATGTATCGGACTAAATGACAATACTGCAGCTAAGCTGTCGACATATATGCAACATCTGACCTCATTGTTTAGATTTAGTAACAGAAAAAATAAAAACTATTTAAAGTTGCAACACGAAACTAAAACCGTTGCGATAACATAATATCAAGAAACAATTATGTTAGTCAAAGGAGTAAAGTAAGGTAAAGAATCCCTTTTCCCCGCCTTTAGGCGTTTAGGACATATAGGGCTAGACCTAAATTTTTTAGACTAATCGACACAAGATGGGTGACATGTACAGTATCACGCTGGTCGCCTTCACTCCCCGGGACTGCACCCGGTACCCACTCAAGGCTAGGTCGACCTGGAAACCACGGTGGCTTCCAGTCAAAATAGCACATTTTAAATTCCAGATCGTTTACAATAATGTCAGAAAACCTAAAGGTAACAAACAAGTAGAAAAATACCATCTACTAATTCATAATCCATTTTGCCTGTCAGTTTCTCGGAGTAGAGCTAGTGAGTGTCTAGAGTTAGGCCTACTGGCGATCAATGACGCCAACAGAAAACAATGGTTTTGAAATCAAGAGTGTTAGCAAGCAAGACAATGTAACGATACAATTGAGATTGGTGTTCACAAAAATGAACAGTGACAATCACGGACGAGCTGTCTAGAAGTGAGATAAATTACAAGAAACGACGATTTGGA